TATTTAACCTCTGTACTAACAGTTTGCTTGTTTGTAAAATGAGGGAAATAATAGTGCCTATTTTAGAGGGTTGTTATTAGTATTAAATGAGTTAATATAAAGTTCATATAAAGTTCCTGGAATACAGTCAAGGTAATATGTTAACTATTATTATCTGGTTTCAAAGTCTTAAAATCTGTCTTTAATCAGAATAAGAAGATGGCTACACTGCAGACCTCTAGAAAAGCTATGTGTGTATGCCTGTGTTTCAAAATCATGTCATATATCATTACCTCTACTTTATAAGTGAAAATTAACCTCAAAAGTTAAAGAAACTGGAGGTAAGATGGTTTCCAAAAGAAATTACTGTCTCAGCCTCATGTCATTCACATGATAAGCAGAAAGTAGTTTTCAGTGGTCCAATTCAACTCTTAGAACCAAGTGCCATCTTGAAAGTTGTCTTAAGATACTGTGCCCTTTAAATTATCTTTAAATGAAATTTCACTTGGGATTTTAATATGGGTAAATAAGATGGGCTCAGCAGTGCTCACAAGTAATCCCAACAACTCTGAAGTAAGTCTGAGGCAGGAAGTTCAAAGCCAGCCTCAGCAACTTAGTGGGACTCCGCTGCCTCAAAATAATAATCTTTTTTAAAGGTCCGAGAATGTAGCTCAGTGGCAAAGCACCCCTGGGTTTAATCCTCAGTACAAAAAAAAAAAAAAAAATCTTTTTTAAGTATGGGTAATCATACTCCAAATGAATTTAGATTAATTTAAGATTAAATCAAAACTTTTTTTTTTTTTTTTTTTTTTGTACTGGGCATGGAATCTATTGAGCTACATCCCCAGTCCTTTTTACTTCTTTGAGGCAGGGTCTAAGTTGCTGAGGCTGGCCTTAAACTCATGATTCGCTTGCTTTAACCTCTTGAGTCTTTAGGATTACAGGTGTGTGCCACCATGGTGGGCTCAAAACTAAATAGTAAAAAATAGCTATGACATAGTAATTGGTATTGACATTACCCTGGCTATTCTAAACAACTCTAAAACTGGACAAAATATATAGGGGCAACTGTTTTTAGGAATTGGTTTACAGACAAACTATTTTTAAAAAGGGAAATAGAGTGAAACCCAGGTTCACTATGTCTAAGAGAACTTTCTCCAACGTGGTATAACAAATGGATAATGGAGCTCAAGAATGATGATACTGCTGAGCTGAGCAGGAAAAGTGGGGGTTTGGGGTTGTTAAAGCTGATGGAATTTCTCAGGGAAGTTAGTGAAGGTGAGTCCTTTTGTGTATTAGCTGACCTGTACAGGAATTTTATAGTGCTGCCATTTGTAATAGCAAAATAATAATAATAATAATAACCTGAATACCCATTGAAAGGAGAATGGATGAATTATGGTAAAACAGAAACATTATGATGATAAACATGAATGGACTAGATATAAACAGTCTTAGTAATACTATGTTAAGTGAAAAAGGCAATTCCTCAAGTACTCCATTCAGCACTCTATAAATACTAAGTGACTAAAATTAAATATACAGTAAGCTGTATGTTTATACAAGAGGTTAAATAATTGTAAGTTCACAAATTTCATGTTGGGGTTAAGGACATAAATCCTGTACTTGATATCCCCAGAACCCTGCGGTAGGAGTTTCTATTTGATGCTGAGAAAAACTCTTAAAGAACGTCTTCCATGGTTATTTTTCCTACCCACATTGACGGACAAGAATCTCAGAAGTGAATCTAATTACTCTATCATACATCTATACATAGTGTGTGTGCGCGCGTGTGTATACATACACACACAAGTACAAAAAATGTGTATATATATATATATTTATACACATAGGTATATTCATATATAGATGTCTGTAGATAGATGGATAGAACCATCAATTGATTGATCTACTTGTTTGAGCTAAATAGTGGCTGTCCGCTTTGCCCTGGGCATTATATGCTTACAAATATGCATAGAACACTTTGTGACACTAGGGTATAGCAGTATAGAAATTTTTAATAAATTTCTATAAAATAAAAATTTTATTTGCCCAAGAGTTTTCTTGTATGCTCTTTAGTTCATCACATACAAGCTTTTTCCTGGTCTAGGTTTTTATATTTCCTATGAGTAAATATCCTGTCTCTAAAAATGCCATCATCTCATGAGGGACTCTCATGAAGAACTAATCCAAAAATGGCTTGCTTGTGTGTGTGTGCACAAGCGTCCACACCAAACTTTGCACCCAGGGCTTTGGGTGCTAAGCAAGTGCTCTACCACTGAGCTACACCCCCACTCCCTAAAAATGGCTTATTTCTGAAAGGTTATTTTCTTTTTAAAAGGAGCTTCTGCAGTGGCATAATAGCTCCTTTAATTTTCTTGCTATTTCCCAAGAAATAAAATCATTTCTAGTGATATATGTAGTAATGGGAAGTCAGATTTAAGATACTGTTGTGTTTATACTATTGTAAGATAAGCTATTTACTATATCGAAAATGATGCTGTTAAAAGGCAAAATATTTTTAAAGCATACTATTAACTCACCAAGTTTGCAGTGCTTTGATGTATAAAGGACCATAGGGTCTTCTAGCCTAGTGACCTATTACAAGTTAAAAGACCAAAACTAGTGGCTGACATTGGGGAAGAAATAAATCTGAGCCTTTATCTCAGTCCTTGCACTCATTTCAGGAGGACCAAATATTTAAATTTTACAAAAGAAAAACCAAAGTTTTTGTTGTTGTAATCTGAATAGGAAAGAACTCTGAAAACCATGAAAGAACTGAAACATCTGACTACAGAGAAATAAGAAATCTTCATGAAAAAAAGTACCAAAAGTCAAAGAAATATTTACATGTCATAAAAGATCCTTTTCCTTCATATTAAATAAACTATGAATAACAAGACCAATCAGACAAAAAAAGATCACATATCAAGAGAAAACACAATTGGCTCTTAAATGTAATAAAAAATAACAGGAGAAAACATTTTTATATATCACAGTAAGGGACTAAAAAGTTTGAGAATTATGTTGATGAGGAAACCAGTCACTGCAAAACATATAAAACGTGGAGTATATTTAGCACACCTTCTATGGAGAGCAATTTTAGCAGGCTTCAGCAAGAAGCCTGAGAGAAAACTTTAACAAAGCACAAAGACAGTTTCTACCAGATCCTATGTATGGGGTTTGGTTTTTATAATTAGAAAATTTTTAAAATATGCATGCCTTTTACCTAGCTACTCCTTATAGGATTCTTTCATGTGTGAAATCACAAGGATAGTCACAGCAACATTGTTCTTAAAGAAAAAAAAACAAAAAAATAATATCTTTAGGGAACTGATTTATTCGGTTGCATACTGCAGTTAGCTATTTAATATGCCAACTGTCATACTAAAGTTTCCATCAATGTTAAGAACTACGTATTTAGATATATGCATCTAGATGTATACATACACCGTTATTTATGGTTACACCTTTATTGGATAAAGTATTGCATCACTGGAGTTTTCCGAGTTAATAGTCTGGAACAATATAGCTGGGACTTAATAAGATGAACTATCCTCTCATATCTACCCTTTTACATTTTGTTCCACTTAAATATGACCTATTTATAAAGCTTACATAAACATACCTCCAATTAGCGGCTAGTCTAGAAGAGAATTTTAAAAATTACTCTCATTTCAATGCTTTCATATATCTTTTAGTCACCTAGTTGCAATTATTGAGAACTTGTTTAGTCTCTCAGATCTGAAATTTTTATTTCAAACATGAGCTAGGCAGGGCCCATTTCAAATCCTGATTCGCTACTGATTCAAATGGGTGTTCTTAAACTACAAACAACAGAATGTCAGTATCCCAAAGTTAGGGGAAAAGAAACAGCTTTGTGGGTCTAATCTATAGATATGGAAATTAACACAAAATTTCTCTATTTAGATTTTAACAACTTCCCATCTTTCCTGTGCATTAGGTGCTGTTTTCAAGTACTTTACAAAATTTTCATCATTAACACACTGTGAAGTAGGTATTTATCCCATATTACAAAAGGGAAAAAATAGGCTCAAAAGTTCCTATTTCTATAAAGCCCTACACCAGGATATGCATCTGAAATACATTACCCCAAATACTTTAATTGTACTAAGTCACCGAACATCTGAAAACAAATTTTTATTTTATGATCAGTGAAAATCCTGCCAGGTAAGGTAGTGCACACCTATAATCCCAGCCACTCACAAAACTGAGACAGGGTTGCAAGTTTAAGACCAATCTCAGTTACTTAGCAAGACCCTAAAGTCGTAATGAGACCCTGCCTCTAAACAAAACAAAAATGGGCTGGGGACATGACTCAGTGGTTAAGCGACCCTGGGTTCAATCCTATCAAAAAGAAAAAAAAAACAAAAACCCAAACTTAGGTAATCAAGATAGTCAAACTGTCAACAAAGACTTCTGTAGGTAGGCATTTAGTCCATAGATGATCAACTTTCACTAATACCTCTAATATCAACTTACAAGTTAACTGTTGCCTCCTCAAGTAAGCATTCCTAAAATAAATGCCATCCCCTATAAATACAAATCCTAGTGAAATTTAGATTAGTCAGGGAATATCACAATCAAATACTTCTTAGGCTAGTTACCTAGAATTCTAGACTTAAGACCCAAGATTTCAGATATAATTCAAAATCTACTCGGGTATTCTACCTTTAACTTAATAAAAAGCTAAAATTTTTGTAATTTTTTTTTAAAAATCAAATGTGTACATTTTACAATTCACCACCCTAGCTACATAAAATTTCTGAAGGCCAGAGCGGGTAAGGGACAAGTTACTTAATAAATGAATATAAGCATCAAGCACAAAGTGTAATATTTCTTTGAAAGTTCATAAACTTCTTAAAGTGTATTAAATTCCAGATCTGAATTTCAAAGTTTAAAACATTTTACTAATTCTACTGTTACCTAAGAACTATTGGGCATAAATTTTTTTCAAAAGGGAAAACTAATTTAGCGTATTAAGACAAGGACAATAGGAATAATATACATAATTTTATTACAAATTTTTTTAAAAAAAAACAAAAACAAAATGCAACATCCTAAAAAACCCAAAATTTACTAATTCCTATCAGTTTGCTGTGCTACCATACACAAGAAATTAAAGAAACCATTAAATATTTAGGAACATTCAACATCAGAAGCTTTAAAATCTAACTGTATGTAGTAGCCCTTCAAAAAGCTACAATCTGCATTTTTAAAAAAGTATTTTCTCTACAAAGAATCTTAGCAACTATACAAAAATCTGTACAGTTTTTATACTGAAGCTAATGTTGAGCTGCACTTGAATTCACATTCTTAGCAAAACAGTTGCCTGAGCACACACACACACTCCACACACATCATTACAGGACAGCCACTTATTCTTCATCCTCCTCCTCTTCCTCATCATCTTCATCATCCTCCTCTTCTTCCTCTTCCTCTTCATCTTCTGGTTCACTCTTCTTCTTTGAGCCTGTTGGCCTACCAGGGCCCTTCTTTCCTGCTTCACTTTTGCCCTTAGCACGGTATGCAGCAATATCCTGAAATATTGTCAAAATAATATAATCAACATCCGGTGTCATTACTCAACTCTGAAAAACCACTTCATTGTAAAAAATCTAAAACTATTGACCAATAACCTTGATAGCTGTCTACATAGGTATTCAGAATCTACCTTACTTTGGGGAATATTTGTTTGCTTTAGACTTTCAGAAACCAAATGGTGTAAAAGATGGGAGTTGGTCAGTGAGTGCTTTCGCTACCAATATTCATTTACATCACACATTTCCCTGCCAACTTCACATTCTGAATACATCTACACAAAATATTTGGCCCTCCAACTTCTTAAAACAGACTTATCAAACTACATATGAGAACATATGTAGGAAATTTCACAGTGCTACAAACATTGCTTTCAGTCAAAGGAAAGAAGGCTTCAATGAGCTTGTTGCTTAACTGGACAAATTCCCTTAAGGCTCTTCTTAATGTAACTGATGACCATTAACATAAGATTGCCTGAATTTCCCAACTTTCTACAGTTCATATCTAACATACTTTTAAAAAAACAATGTCTACCTCATTTTAACCTCTTTTTAAGACTAACACAATATACCTTCTCATATTTCTCCTTTAGCTTAGCTGCTTTCTGTTCATATGGCTGTTTATCTTTGGCTGACTGCTCAGACCACATTTCACCCAGTTTTTTTGCAGTATCCCCAATGGACAGGCCTGGGTGTTCACTTTTGATCTTTGGGCGATGTTCAGAGCAAAACAGGAAGAAGGCAGATCTGAAAGAAAGCAACAGGGTTAATAAAGCAAAAGTAAAAATCTAAGGGATAGTTTGGTTAATTTTAAAATAAACTTACGGTGGTCTCTTAGGAGCGTTGGGATCTTTTTTCTTTCCTTTCTTATCACCTTTGGGAGGAACGTAATTTTTCATCTCCCTGTCATAGCGAGCTTTGTCACTTTTTGCCATATCTTCAAACTTCGACTTCTCCTTTGCAGACATGGTCTATGAGCATAGAATGAGAAGTAAAAAAACACAGCAATTTTGTAAGGTATAGACATCCAAAAAAGATTAAGAGCATCTTTAAGGATCACATTTCCTTAGTTAACAACTCTGTGCTTTCGTCGCTCCAGTGAAATACTGAGGTGAAGTGGGCTGCCTAAAACGCCAGAGTCATCAAGGTTGTTAGCTGCCTGCTCAAAACACCTGAAAACCCTCAGCTCTGAAGCCCTCTCACCTTCCATCTCTCCGAGCACTTCTTGGAAAATTCGGCGAAGTTGACGGAAGAGTCCGGGTGTTTCTTCTTGTGCTCTTCCCGGCAGGTCTGCACGAAGAAGGCGTACGAGGACATTTTGCCCCTCGGCTTGTTGGGGTCTCCTTTACCCATGGTGGCAGCCGCCGTCTACCTGGCGGGGAGAAAGCCGGCGGGTGGGCGCGGAGCCCGCAGCAGCGCTGGCGGGGTGCAGCTTCCCGCCCAAACCCGGCCCGCGCCCCCCTCCTCGCGGGCAGGCGACCGCCGCGCCCGGCTCCCCAGCCGCCTCCGCCCGCCGCAACAGCCACGGCCGACGACTCCTTGCGCCGGGTCAGCAAGTTTCTCCGCGAGGCCGGATTCCGCCGCCCGCCCCTCACCGAGACCCGGGACGCCGCGAGCGCCCTCGAAACCCTTTCCTGACAGAAATGTCCCCCGACTTCTACGTCGCGAGCCTAGCGCAGACTAGTCGCCTCACGACCGACATTCAAAAACTACTGGAACTGGGCCCGGGGGAGCTTCCCGCCCTCCCGCCGGCCCCGACACCCGACCCCGCCCGCCCTTGGCAGCCCCGGCCCTCACCAGCCAGTACCCCAAATTCAGCTCGCCAGGTCGGACCCCAGGAGTCACGGCGCCGAGACACCAGAGAAGGCTCTGAAGGAAGGGGGAAGGGCAGGCCCACGAACCAGAAGAGGTTAAGGGGGATTCTTGCCTGATGGGAGCTTTCCCTCAGAGTCCCGCAGAGGGGCCGGATCAGACAGAGAAGCTTCCTCCCCTGGGCTCCGGCGTGAACTGGTTTATCGCTAACGCAATCCTCAGCCTCTTGTTTTGCAGAGTTCTCCGCGCCACGGCAACTTGACGAGCGCCGCCAGAGACCACACCCCCATCTCTCTGATTGGCTGGTACGATTATTCAAACCCGGGGAGTCTCCGCCTCCTCCCCAAGACGGCTTCCTATTGGTCAGTGTCTCTCTAGGTCCGTCCCCCTTTCCCCAGCCTAGCAGGTTCGGTGGGTCGCCCAGGTCGTTAACTCCCAGACCCGTTAGAACCGGTCAGAAGAGGAATGTACTGCTCGATCCTGATTGGCGGCAGGAAAAGGGTTTGAAAAATGGCGGGCCTGACAGTGATTGGCCAGGACTGCAAATGGAGGAGTGGTTGGCCCTAGAGGAAAAGCCCCGCCAGATTTAAAAGTAATAAGTCAGGAGCCTGGGGGTGGTTCTCCAGGGCCTGGCGGCTGCACCTGGGCTTACTGACGCTAAGGTAAAGGCGGAAGCCTGTCTTATCCCTTTTCCAACCAGTTTTGGTCCTTTCTCTCCTACGTCCCAGCCCGACCCTGCAGCGTTGTCTCTTGGGAGCTGTAGTCCCTTGCAGCCCTGCAGTCTCCCTAGCACTGTTCAAAAAACAGTAAGTGGGGGAGACTGAGGAGTTTGATCTGCGGACCGATTTCTCAGCCCCTTGGATGTGTCGTTGAGGCTGAGTAGACCCGCAAAAGACAAGGCAAGAAGCCTCAGAGTGTGAGGCGCGCGAGAGGACAGTTGCTCCCGCCTCCTGTGCGTAGGGTGATAAAAAGCCAAGTGAGGCGCTTCCCGCCGAGGGAGTTTCCCTCGGGAAGTCCCGCCCTTCATTGGCTCTTTGTCTCAGGTGTCAAACATTAGGAGGTGAACGGGCGCGCCCTCCCGCGCCCCGCTCGCCCCGCCTCCCCGGCCTGTCCCTGATTTCGGCTGTAGGCTGCAGGGCCGATTAGGGACCAGCGGCCCACGCCCCAGTCCTCAGCGCGCGCGTGGAGGTCGGGGCCCAGGCGGCCGCCTCACTTTGCTCATTGACTCCGGCTTCTAAGGTGACAGTTTTTTAAAAATTGAAAATCTAATAAAACAATGGATGCTTCACCCTGCCTCACCCCCAGTTGCATATATTCGTCAAATTATGTACAGCAACATTTTAGACTCCTGCAAGCTGCCTTAACTTGCTGCTTACCAGCCTCACAAGCTGCCTTCCCTAAGGTAGGACTTTGACACTTTAGTAAACTATTTCTGTGTTGTGTCTAGTTTTGAAGATTCCCCCGCCCCCAGCCTTTTGGCCTATTATCTATTGCACGGACAGTTTCAACGGGTCTTTAGTTTTGTCTTGTTTTTACAGTAAGTTTGCTTGCATTTGAAACTGCATGCTCCTCTTTGGTTTGAGTATGGTAATCATACTCGGTGATACCTCAGATCCAGCAATTCTTTACCCAGATTTACTAATAAAAACTATAGAGTTTTTTTAAAGTGTATTTCCCTTATGACGGTATAGTGGTTGCTCAATATTGTGAATGTAGTTCATGCCAGTGAATTGTACACTGACAAATGGCTAAAATGGTGACTTTTATGTATGTTTTACCACAATTTAAAAAAAAAAGTGGCAGTTTTTCAAAAAGATAAAAGTGAATTTTCTTGTTTTAAGGATCTTAAAAATTTTATTAGTCATAATCCTTAATTTATAACATTTTTGTGCCTGCCGAAGCTTCTATACCTACAAAATGACAATTGCAACTATAAGTTGTGCTTATATAAGAATTGGGCATTTAATCAAGAACTGTTTACTGAATATGTTAAGCATTGAGTTTAGCAGTAAAAATATAAAGATGAAATGTCATGGCCTTTGCCCTTGGAATATTTACAGTGTAGAGGAAGACAAAAATAGGAAAGGGCAGTAAAACATAATAATTGTTGAAATTGTTCAATTATGAGAGCATAAAATAATTACCTAACACCATGGGGAAGTAGGGAAGCCTTCCATGAAAGTAGCATTTGATTACAGTTGGAGTGGGAATATTAAATGGGGGGCGGGGGGGAATAAACAGAAAGGCCTTTGAAAGAGCCTGACTTATTTGGAGATGAACTAGAAGAATGGTGTTGGACTGGCAGTTTACAAAGAAATTTAGTCTTTCCTATAGTCAAAGGAATTACTGAAAATTGTGAGAAAGTGTAAAATAATTAGATTTCCACCTTAGATGGTAGCGTTTACAGCATGGTAAAAATGAAGTCACATTAACTTTAAAGTCATAATCCACTGAGTTCAGTGGCACAGATCCATAATCCAGTTACTCAGGAAGCTGAGGCAGGAGAGTTGAAAGTTGGAGGCCACCCTGGGCAATTTAGTGAGGCCTGTCTCAAAATTGTTGAAAAGGGGCTAGCCATAGCTCTGAAGCAGAGAGTTCCTGGGTTCAATCCCCAGTACCAATAGTTACTAAAGTTTACTTCACTTGGAGAATTTTGTGTTGCTTCTAATAATAAATTGGTTTCAAAACTTTTTATGTTATATATAAAGCACTATAAAGCAAATAGTGAATTTATTCAACATCCCAAATCAACCCACTTGAATCAAATGTATGAAATATGATATGTCAAGAGCTTTGTAATGTTTTGAACAACTAATAAAAAAAATAAAAATAAAATAGAATAACTAAAAAAAAACCCAAATCAGAGCTACTAACTGAAGTCTACATTTCATTCTATTTTATAAGAATCATGATTCTAAGACCCTCTTCCTTTCAATTATACTAGCAATTGGTTGGGTGTGAGGTGCTTATTTTTCAGAAAGGTTTTTTAATCCCTAATCTTGATGCCTAGAAGAGACAAAGGACCATCGGGCAAGCCAAGATTGATGATAGGCTCACTTAAGTGTTATGGGTTAAATTATGCCCCCCTCAAACTTCATATGTTGAGTTTTTAGCACCCAGTACCTCAGAAGATAATCTTAATTGGGAATAGGGTCATTGTGGGATGCTATTAGTTAAGACAAAGTCATACTGGAGTAGGATGAGCCCCTAATCCAGTATGATTGATGTCCTTATCAAAAAGAAAAATTTGGACACCTATACAGCTATAGAGGTAAGACAGTGTGAAAACACAAAAATATAGCACGTACAAGTAGAGAAACCTGTAACAGATTCTCCTTCCCTTACTGCTCTCAGATCTGCTGATACCAATTTCCATTCTTCATCATAGCAGAGAAAAGAAAAACATTTCTATATTTAATCTACTTTTACCATTGCTGTTAAGATTTCACTTTCATGCTATACTTCCTGGCCTAGAAGTAGTAATATTGAGAAGCACATTAAAGTGTAAATAGGTTTAACTAAGATCTTGATGGTTGTTGATTACAGAACACTACCATTTTTGGTGAAAAAAAATAAAGTATCTGGTAGCATCAAAAAAAAAACTTAGTCCTAAATATAATTCTGAAAAGATGAATTAATACACAAAAAAATCAAGGCCTGGGCTGGAGATATGGCTCAGCGGTAGAGTGCTTGCCTACCATGCATGAGGCCGGAGTTCAATCCCCCCAGTACCACCAAAACGAGAAAAAAAGAAAGAAAAGAAAAAAAAAAATCAAGGCCTGATTCACCGTAGTATGACTTATTTGACATAACTATTACAACTTTATCAGAAAACTGAAATGTCCTAAAAGGAGAATACTAAAGGTCTTTTTCACTGTTCCAGTCTTATGATATTTCTAAATAGGGAAATAAAGTGGTATTCTCAATTAACTTGAAAACCATTTTTTTCCAAGAACACATTAATTTTATGTATTTTAAAACAAATACCCTATATTTATTAAGGCAGTACACCTTTCTAAAAGATGATGAAAAGCAAAATGTTTATATTCTTCATAAAAATGATAAATAAAGGGGCTGGAGCTGTGGCTCAGTGGTAGAGCACTTGCCTAGCATTGTGAGGCACAATGGTTTCAATCCTCAACACCATGTATAATACATAAATAAATAAATTAAATAAAGGTCACTAAAAAAATATTTTTAAAAAGATAAAAAAACAGGAACTTGTGATTTAGAACAGTTCACTCACTTGGCATTTCTAGGCCTACGATTGACAAACTAAATTGAGCTTCAGGGGATAATCTCTAAAGTATCAACTGACAAACTGTATGATTCTGTAATTTTGACAGTATGTGATCATAATGTGAGCAAATAAACATATTTTAACTTATGCAATTGTTATGTAGTTCAGTGATTATAATATAAATAACGTGTCTATAAGAATACTGATTAGTTTTAATTCCAGTTATTCTAAAACAGTGGTTGATGGAGTAAGAGTTGATAGATGCTAAACATAATAAATTATGTAGACCAAACTGGATCACACAATATTTCCATCATCTTATCCTTTCATTAAAATTATCTGGACAACTTTTCCCCTCAGATGGTATCATTACATCACTTTATTTGCCAAACTGTCTTAATTCAGCATCTCATGAATCATAAAACATATGCTGTTAGCAATAAACTAATTATGAGGAACAACACTATTTCCAAAGTTTGTCCCTATCCTATTCCTACCTGTAAACAACTATTCTATTGAAAAACTTGAATTTATCTACAACAATGTCAGTCTTGCAGAATTGTATTAAAATGATATGCTAGATTGGAATGCCTATCATTTATTTGATCAGTCTTCCTAAAAATTTTATACTTTTAATAATCTGTGATCATAGTCAGATTGGAAAATACTAATGGATAATATGTACATTTTTTTTTTTTCCAGTACTAGGGATTAAACCCTGGGGGCTTTGCCACTGAGCTATCTCCCTATCCCTTTTATTTTTTTTATTTTGAGACAGGGTCTCACTAAATTGCAGAGACTGGCCTCAAATTTGCAATCCTCGTGAGTCACTGAGATTAAGGCATGCTCCACAGTGCCTGGCAGGATATACATTTTTTATAGACCCTTCCCCTGAAAAGCGATAAATAAATTCTCAATGGTGATTATCATTGATTAATTAACTCATAAAGTGAGCCAAAATGAAGTCTACTTTATACAAGGTTAGTAGCATATAAA